AGGGGACATCCTCCGTATAAAACCACTCCGAAGGCCAGTCTTCGGATGTCTTCTTCGGAGTACCGAACAGGTATCCGGTCCTGGCGATGCGCCATATCTCGGCTCCGCCCACTTGATATATTGACCCCTCCTGTGTACGGGGTACGAGGCAGAATAGCCTCTTCCATAGCTCAAAATGAGCTTCATAGCCCAAAAACAGCTCGCAAAGGGCAACGTAGCTAGCTATGTGTAATATGGAGGCGGGAGTAAAGTTGTGCAGCTGGAGGCCGTACAACTCTAGGAGCCCGCGGAGGAACGGATTGATTGGAAATCTGAGCCCCATTAATAAGTAAGGGACAAGGCATACCCGCTCCCCCATGGATGGGTTGGGAAAGCTCTCCGCTTGCTCCCCGCCATTGTAGGTCGCGAGTCCGGCTCGAACAGGGACCATATACGCTGGAGGGAGGAATCCCTGGGTTTGTAACTCTACTAATTGGCTATGAGGGAGGGAACACTTCTTCCAATTGCCTGGCTTAGGGCTACGGGAGGGAGAGGAGGAGCTGCGATGGCCGACCATGATGGGATGGACTTTTCCTAGCATGCTCCGATGGATACTCGCTGTGGGAGGATGGTGTGATCTGGATCTAAGGATCCCCGCCTCTTTAAATAGATGATTTACTTACATGGTTAGGGTGGCAAGTGTAAAAATTCCCCGACTTCTCGCATTCGCTCGACACATGGAGGATAGCCATTATTAGGCGCGGATGCCAAGGAGTGCAACATTCATGGGAAGCCGGACAATACTCGACAGGTACTCAGAATTTGGAGAAGAATCCGCCTTGCAATGCCGAAGACAATTTGCGCGCCGGACTCATCGTCATTGAAGCCTGGTTCGGGGGCTACTGAGGGAGTCCTAGATTAGGGGGTCCTCGGACAGCCGGACTATGTCCTTTGGCCAGACTATTGGACTATGAAGATACAAGATTGAAGACTTCGTCCCGTGTCCGGATGGGACTCTCCTTGGCATGGAAGGCAAGCTTGGCAATTCGGATATGTAGATCTCCTCCCTTGTAACCGAATCTGTTTAACTCTAGCCCCCTCCGGTGTCTATATAAACCGGATGCACTACTGGAATCTGGCACTTTGCCATCTTCCATGGCAGATGGCAAAGGCATGGTCGGCTGATGGCAAAGGCTTTGCCATCTGCCAGCAGATGGCAAACAGTTTGTCTGAAACCCTGCCGGCAAAGGCTTCTTTGCCGTCTGCTGGCTGATGGCAAAGAGCCTATGGCTTTGCCATCAGCTGGCAGATGGCAAAGCCTCTTAACGGGGTTAGCCCCGTTAGAAGGCTAACGGCATACTTTGCCATCAGCCAGTAGATGGCAAAGGCTACAGGCTCTTTGCCATCTGCCAGCAGATGGCAAAGGCTGCAGGCTCTTTGCAGTCTGCCAGCAAATGGCAAAGTATGCAGGCTCTTTGCCGTGTGCCAGCAGATGGCAAAGGCTGCATGCTTTGCCGTCTGCCAGCACATGGCAAAGAGCTCTGCCATCTGCTGGCAGATGGCAAAGAGCCCAAATAGGCCAGCCCAAATTTTATATGTAGATGACACGTGGCCTCTTTGCCATCTACCAGCTGATGGCAAAGTGACTATATTACCCCATTTAATTTTGTTTTTTCTTATATCAATTCATTTTCACAGAAAATCAAACACAAATATATTTATATGACCAATATAGAATATTCAACACATATTACCAATAGTCATGAACACATATATCCAATACATGTTACCAATAGTAGCAAGTTTCATCCGTACATATACATAGTTTCATCAATATTACACAGTTTCATCCATAGGTAGCAAGTTTCACAAGGTCAAAACAAAAACTAAATACAAGCACTCCATCAACCCAAGCTTCTGTGATCTTAAGCAAATCTGTAAAATGGGAAAGAAGAAAGTTAGAAGAAGAAGACTAGAAGAAGAAGATTATTATGATGCAACTAAAATGTGAAGATTATTATGATGTCCGAGTTCAATTTGTTTTCTATCGTGTCCTATCATTGTGTTGTTCACTCCAAGGATTAATTCCTGAATATACTCACCTGCAATCTTGGATGCCATATATCATATATCCGATTACAGTTTTTTACATCTTTGGACAGTAGAATAAATTGGTCCCATTATTAATGAACTGGTGGACACTTGATGCAAAGGAGCATGTCATCTATTAGTTTCTCACTGATCGAACTACCACTGTATAGGTCATTATGTTCACATAAAAAGGAATTGGAAGTTGAGCATGCTCTCATGTGCTCTTTGTTTCTGAATCTCCTAGACTGAGCAGAGGCAGGCATGTGGAGATGATCATGAACCAACACGTTATGGATTCTAATGTCAATGGTGGGGAGTATTTTAGAAAACGTTTTGTGCAAAAGGTGTGCTCAAGTTTAGATGCAGAGAGGTCTGCACCACTATATTCATAACCATCCATACATTATGGTGGAGTTGAGGAAAGGAGCATTACCAGGGATGTGATTTTAGCAGCATCTATAGATAAATGGCTGCTACAAAGGGCAGAAGATGCATGCAGTCACCAGCATCAACTTTTGGAGTGTGCGCTACTGGGATCAGTCTCTCCAGCTTCAGGTAAGCTATTCACTCAGCCACTCAGCTATTTATGTCAGATCTAGAAGTATTTTCTATAGCACACCATGTGTTAGTTTGATCTGATAAGGTTGAAATACTATGAAGCTCATGGCAATCAATGGATTGATTTAGGGGAGTATAGTTTCTATAATTACTGTGATAGTATGAAACATATATTGCTGTATAATCAAGATTTAATGTACACTATTCAGTATACCTGATATGACTATGATAGAGAGAACATAATATACTGTATTTTATTTGTAATTTTGTATACATCTATCTATCTATCTATCTATATGTATGTATCTATCTATAGCTATACTAATTATATATAGACTCCCAACAAATTACACATTAATCAGAAAATAAGAGCCGTTCTATCTAATCCATGTAATCCTTGGCTGAAATCTTGACCAAGAAAAAATCATGTCCAGTAACTTTTATGGGAGCATTAACATCATCAATAGCCTGCCCCAGCCTCCAGTTATGGCTGATGGCGTCACTTGGTTTTATTCATTGCTGGTCCGCTACAATATCCTGGCCAGGGAAGTTCCTTGCCAAGTTGTCATCTCCTTACTGTTGTTGGTTAGAGAACTGATTTCTCATGAACTTTTCTTCCAACCCTTTTTTAGTCAGAAAGTTGGATTCTGAAATACTTGAGCGTTGATGTGTCTGTTATAAATCAATATAATTTTCCTGGGAAATTGGTTTGTAAAAGGAATTGCATGTGATTACTATAAAGCATTGAGTGTTGTTGCTGATGCGGTTTCCTAAGTACGGGTCTTGATTTTCTATGAATCACATGTGACAACAACTATTTTTTTTCTGTCAACTACAGGTTAAATAGAGCATGACCAGCTGCATCGACTGCTCTTAACTGGTTCCTACCTACAGCTCTATAAATAAGAAGTGTTCATCTGATACCTATTGACTGCAGATTGGGTATAATTAGCAACATAATATTGTTACATAGAAATACTGAGTGAGAGTATGACCAGCTGCATCCACTGCTCTTCTAATAATTCCGCATCAGCCGCATCAGCTGCCACTCATCTTGACTTCCACGCCAAGCCTCATATAGATGGTAGGATATCTTTTGTACATAGTAGTTCTTTTGTAACCTGATTGTAATATCATTAACGATGTATCCGTGTAGTCCATATATATGTGAATATGAGACGGGCGAGGTGTGCAATTAGCAGCCCGTTCTTTCTGAGCTATACGAGTTTTTCTTGGTTATCCTATTTCGGCGGTTTCATATTTAGAGAAGCTTATGAAATTACACATCATATGCCTATTTAATAAGGATGTGTTTCACTGGTACCTGTTTTGGCTGATTGAGGTTAATAAGCAACAATATATTGTAAATAAAAATATTGAGTTTTTCCCAATTTGTGGTGCCTAAGTTTTATTTTGGCAGTTTCATATTACAAAACGTTATGAAACTAAATAGCATAGAATTCCTGCAAAAAAAAAAAGAAACCGTGCTTTTGATAAATAATAAGATGTCTGCAAATGGTTTCTCATCTTGCAGTGATGTTATGAGAACTTTGAAATATATGATAAATTTTTACTAACAATATCAATGATAAATATATGGTTGTTTTTGTAAGTTGCATTGCTTAAAGATTTTTCGAAAGCAATACCTGAATCTGGCTTTTGTATAGTTCTTTTTGTTTTACCTTTTTTATGAATTAACTTAGCACATATACTATACTTATTTTCGTTCTGAAGGGGACTATAGGAGGAAAGGTAATACGAGATGATCATCGCACTTCTCCAAATCTGCTCTATCCATGTTCTACCACTATGTTGTCTCTCTCTTTTCTTTCATACCTACTATTTGTATAAGGTCTGTACGTTCAAATTATCTATCTTATGACATTTTTTGTTGATCGGAATGCTTACTACCTAGCCCTGTACTATGTAATGCATGCAGAAAATATCCAGATTGATCTGAATTGTATATTTTTAATAAACCAAATATAATGCATGTGACAAACCAGTTTCAGTATTCATTTTTCACTTTCCCCGAGGCACGTGCTCTAAAAGATTATTTTTTTGATATTCTTACGGTGAGAGAGACATAGGTCAAACTCTCAAAGAATTTGTTGAGGAAGATGATTCCTCTACATAGTCTATATATGTGAACTATGAACCCTTTGGTTCTTTACATCGGCGTGAGTATATGATGTAGAGAATAAAATGCTTTCCATTTGACCTGTTGGTCAGTAGCGTACACGTTGCACTAGAAAATCATAATTTAGAAAAGGTTCATTCTTAGGATCTGTTGGTTAGGACATCACTTATTGCTATATATGGATTAAATGCCCAAAAAAATCCAATTCTTATGGTAAAATATAGTAGAAAGACTAGCCCGTGCATCGCACGGGTTTGACGACTAGTAGTGTTAACCACTGTATGCAGTAACTGAATTTGAAATCCACAACACAGCAATGGCAATCAGCAATCGGCAATCGTAAACAGGCCGTGACGGAGCTCACCTCGAGCGCGTCGACAATGAGGAGCAGGACAATGATCTTCTCGGAGAACCTCTGCCGCTCCTCGTGGTCGTGCGAGAGGCGGCGCCTGTAGGAGAGGTTGTAGAAGAGGGACCAGAGCTCCTTGAGCTTGGCCTTGGCGACGGCGAGATTGCGCAGGCAGCTGAGCACCTGGGAGCGGTGGGTGAGGTGCGCCCTGTAGTTCATCTAGATGAGCAGCACGGCATCCTACAGCGACAGCTCCTTGGCCTTCCCCTTGCCGTTCCCCATGGCAAAGGCCTGCATCATCAGAAAGAGAGACAAATGTCAGGCGGTCAGCACACATATGACAGTAGTGCATTGCAAGGGAGCAGAATCCTCAAGCTGATATCATTCAGAGCAGAGTTCAGTCAATCTGTAGCCAGTACTAAGCACAGATCTAGAGTGTGGACACTAGCATCCTCTAAAATTCCAAATTTTCACTCAAATCCAGCGAGAGGTAACTTGGATCTATTGGAAATTCTACTGGAAATCACACATTTCGTTCAGATCGGGCCACAGACCCCAAACCCCCACAAAAATCTCATCTTTTGTGCTGAGTACCGTACCTTGTGGATGGCGTCGCAGCCGGCGGTGTTGTCCTCGGGGATCTCCTCGATCTGGACGCACGTCCTCGCCGGCTTCTTCTTGTCATGGTCCTTGTCCTTGGTGGCGGCCTTGATCTTCTTGGGCTTCTCCGGCCTGCGCTCCTCGACCTCCAGCTCATCCTCGTCGTCGTCGGAGGCGGTGAAGTCCTCCTCCCAGGTGTAGGCATGCAACCATGGCTCGAGCGAGCCTTTCCCTTGATCTCGGTGCCCCACTTGGTCTTAGTCTTGCCTCCGGCGCCGCCCTTGGACTTGGCCTCCCACCTCCACTTGCGGTTGAATCCGTCGTCGTTGGGGGAGGCGAGCTCCGCCTCCCACTTGAGCACCCGGCCCCTGCCGCGCGGCTTCTCCTCCGCCGTCCACTTGACCTTCCGGCCGCCGGGCTCCGTGGCCGCGTAGGTGTACTTGCGGCATGCCGGCTGCGGGGCGGCCGCGCGGGCCGCGAGCTCGAGCGGCGACGCGGTCGGTGAGGTCGTGCAGGAGGAAGGCATGCGGGGAGGGGATGGGGGGCGGGACGAAGAAGGGGTCGACGGGGAGGTAGAGGTCGAGGAGGTCGGGGTGGTGGGGGAAGGCGAAGGGGGATGGGGATGGGGATGGGGGTGGGAGGAAGGGGCGCAGGAGGCGGAGAGGGAGGAGGTAGGTGGTGGTGTGTGGATGAGATGCCAACGTCGTTTTTTTTACCTGGATGGGTGGGGAGGGAGGGAGGGGATAACCCCACAGTTTTTTTACCTAAAAAAATAACCCCATCTCTTTGCCGTCTGCTAGCAGATGGCAAAGAGGTGGGGCTGGTACGCCGTTATAGTTTGACGGCCATAGGATTTGCCAACCTCTTTGCCATCTGCTGGCAGATGGCAAAGATTAGTTGCCATCCACTAGCAGATGACAAAGAATTGGCTGATGGCAACCATGTTCTTTGCCGTTTGTCAGTTCTTTGCCATCTGTTTTTTATAAGCAGATGGCAAAGACGTTCTTTGCCATCAGCTGGCAGATGGCAAAGAGCTAGCTGATGGCAAATTCCGTGTTTCTAGTAGTGATGGTTTAGTCTGTAGGACCAACAACAATCATAATCATAGGCTAGTAGGGCCGGACTAATGGGCTGTGAAGACATGAAGGCCGAAGACTGTACCCGTGTCCGGATTGGACTCTCCTTGGTGTGGAAGGCAAGCTTGGCGACCGACTACGAAGATTCCTTCTTTTGTAACGGACTCTATGTAACCCTAGATCCTCCCGGTGTCTATATAAACTGGAGGAGTTAGTCCAGAGAGGATACACACATTACCATAGTCATACAGGCTAGACTTTTAGGGTTTAGCCATTACGATCTCGTGGTAGATCAACTCTTGTACTACTTATATCATCAAGATCAATCAAGCAGGAAGTAGGGTATTACCTCCATCGAGAGGGCCCGAACCTGGGTAAACATTGTGTCCCCCGCCTCCTGTTACCATCCGCCATAGACGCATAGTTCGGGAACCCGAGATCCGCCGGTTTTGACACCGACACCAGGCTCCGAGCAGAGGCCTACGCAGCATTGCAACAAGGCGTTCTTGGATTCGCGAGCGGCCATCCGGGTATGTTTCTCACTTCTTCATCTTTGATCCTTGTCTTTTTTGTACTTCTCTATGGGGGGCGTGCCAGCGCACCCACTGGGTGTAGTCCCCGAGTTTCAGGCCGGCTGATGAGCAGGCGGCTCGGAACTTTAATTGGCAAGCTTTGAGTACTAACATTGTCTGATATCTTCACTGTAGGATTAGCATAACCTCCGCGCGGCCACCTTCAACTCCAACGTCCAAGAGTTGGAGCAGCGGACCGCCGACTTGTCAGAAAGTCGGAGTAAGTCTTTGTTTCCTTTCTCTGCAGGGGCATGCTGGCGCACCCGCGGGCTGTAGTCCCCGAGATTCGGGCCGACTGCTAAGTAGTCGGGCCTGATCTCCCCGGCAACTATACTTTCTCTTTGCTGATGTTGATAACTTCTTTCTCTACGGGGGGGCGCTGGCGCACCCGTGAGCTGTAGTCCCCGAGATTCGGGCCGACTGCTGAGCAGTCAGGCCGGATCTCTCCAGCGACTGTACTTTTTCACTGTTGGTTGCTGACGTCTTTTTCTCCGTTCTTGTAGAGGCCAATGCTACTTTGCAGCAGAAGCTGGGCGACGCCAACACCGCGTTATGCGCCAAGGAGGCGGAGCGCAATGAGCTAGCCCAAGAGTGTGACCAGCTGACCACGCAACTGGCGGAGCAGGCGGAGCTTCTCAAGAAAGCCCAGAAGGAGGCGGAGGAAAAGGAGTCCGGTCTCCTTGCTGAGTTCGAGACTGAACGCTCCGCCTGGACCAATAAGGAGGCGTTGCTTAGTGCCGGCTTCAGCAAAATAGAAGACATGGTTGACGGTAAGCTTCCCTCTTTTTTCTTTCTCCGAGCCACCGACTGCTGATCGAGCCGGCTTCTTACTTCTAACTTTGGCTCTTTGCTTTCTGTTTGAGCATATTTCTTCCCTGGTCATTCTGGCGCTGCCAATCAGGCCATCGAGGCTGACCGCGAAGGGTGGAGGGCGGAAGGTGCGCAGATTGCTGCCAACGCCCCCCGGACCCTCAGCGAACAACTTCTCATTATCCAGGCCCGTCTTCGGCTGGCTCATTGGATGATGCGCCATCTTCAGCGCATTGGGGCGCAGGCCATCTCTGCCCTGTGACCAAACATGCAGGCTCCGCGCACTCCCAGTCGAACTATCGACTGGCTGGAGGTGGCGGCCGGCCGTCTTGAGTCATGGAAGGGCTCCTCGGCCTGGGCTGGAGCACGCTGGGCCTTGGAGTTCATCAAGGCATGGTACCCTAGGCTAAATCTAGCCCAGTTGATCACATTTCGACAGGAGGCCCAGGAGGAGCTGGTGGCGGTGGAGCATGATCTTATCAAGCGGGCGGTGGCGATCGCCGAGTACAGCAACACCAGCATCTTCGTCCCGGAGCTGGCTGAGAATGGTGCCGAGGCGCCACCAGAGTGGTTTTGGCTGAACCCGGAGGATGGCGAGGACTCAGCCGAAGTGATCGACTCTAGCGACGAGGGAGAAGACGAGGAGGACGAGGAAAGTGAAGAGGAAGCGCCAGAGGTTGAAGCGGACGGCCAGCCCCAGCTCGACCGCGCCTCCAGTAACGAGCCACGCCCGGGTGAGCCGACTCCTGCTGAAGGCAACCAAGTGGAGACTGACCTGCCGACCGCTCCACCAACCGGCACCATCGACTCCACCATTCCGCCGAATCCGTCTGCTGCTCCCTAGGCTGCCAATTTATCTTTTGTTTTTTCCTGCTTATCAGTCTCGACAAACATGTTAACTTCGCTCAATTCCACCCGCGGGGTGTATTCCAAACTTCTGTTGAGTGTTGGCCAAGGGCCTTTTGATGTGTAAATATATTTTCCGAGTTCTATCTTTCCTTGCTTTCTGCTCCTTGGCTATTTTCCTTTGGCTCCCTCCCCGGGCTACCGTCTTGCCAGCCAAACAGCAGCTCTGTGGACTGCGGTTGTGTCAAGTACTTGGCTGCGTTGGGAGGGTAAGTACTTAGCCGATTAGAGTATTTTTGGCAAGTTAGGTAGAAGCCGGTCGACCGGCTGCTCAACAGCCGGTCGGTGAGGCGGGACGCCAGCTTGAACTATGTGCATGCTTTGGGTCCTTAGCCATTTTTCATGCGGACACCCTTTCTGCCTTTAACTCCTGCCCACCGGATAGTCGCTCTGCAAGCTGTGGCTTCTGGAAGGAGAAGGCTTGGATGCCAACACACTACTTGTCTGGCTGCAGGAAGCACCGCATAGTACAAGGCGGCGAGCCCCTCGGGCCGACTTGTCGGACCCGGTGCCAGGCGGAAAAATGAAATAACACATCCATAGGCATAATATTTATCATATAGATAAAGGAGGGTAGTCCCCGAGCTCTTCTCGGGGGACCCGGAGTCTTCGTACTTAATACAAAAGGTAGCGTGGTACATACTCCATCAACTGTAAAACCTTCGAAGGAGGTTTGCACTCCATGGCCGCTCCGTCTCCTTGCCGGAGTCGTCTCTCTTGCATGCTCGAGGCTTTTGACCATCGATTAGGTAGTAGGAGTCATTGCCCAATACCTTGCTGATGATGAAGGGGCCTTCCCAAGGTGCCGAGAGCTTGTGCTGGCTGGCTGTTCGCTGGATCCGCCGAAGCACAAGGTCTCCCTCTTGGAAGGATCTTGGATTGACCTTCCGATTGTAGTATCGGCGTAGGCTTTGTTGGTAGATGGTGGACCGACTGAGTGCCAACAGCCAGCCCTCTTCCAGCAGATCGACACCATCTTCTCGTGCTTCTTTTGCCTCCTCTTCGGTGTACATGGTGACTCGAGGGGAGTCGAATTCTATGTCCGTTAGGATGACAGCTTCGACACCGTAGACGCGAAAGAAAGGCGTGAAGCCGGTTGACCTGTTCGGAGTTGTACGCATGCTCGAGAGGATGGCCGGCAGCTCGTCGAGCCAGCAGCCGGCCGAACGCTCCAGGGGCTCGACCAGTCAGGGCTTGATGCCGGACAAAATATGGCTCTTTGCTCGCTCCACTTGGCCGCTTGACTGCGGATGGG